TTCAGCCAAGGTTGCTCTACCAATCCAACCCACTATACATTTACAAATATCCAAAGCCCGAAACCAGATTCGAACCAGGAAACTTTAGTACAGCAGTCTATCCTCAATCAACTGCGCCACACGGACAGGCCTTTCGTCCTTTCTTTCGACTTACAGTGACGCATTTGATATTACGCATAACGTGGATGACATTTTACAGGGACCCGCCATTTTAAGTTATTCTCGAAGACATCGCGTGATACATTACTACTAACCTACTTAGAATTATTTACACATGGAGACTTAAATTATTGTTCCTGGAGATTTTGGAGATTATTGTTGTTGTGTTTTGCCTCGATACTTCTGATTTTACGTACCTTACTTTTTCTCATTACGAGGCATACATCTTCCGCCAATTCGATTTTGTCTACGTTACTTTTGTTGCTCCGAAGATTCATTCGTACTAACTTAACTACGTTTTATATTTCCTTCAGATTAGTCTGTCTACCGATACTAGTTAATTTCCTTTTAATTGTAAATTGAGTTATTTAAGGTTATGATTATTTTGCCATTGCCCATTTGTAAAAGACAGCTTAATTAATAAGTTTAATTACCGTAAATTGAATTATTAATTCTTATTGAGTGCTAATTACGGGTTGTAGTATTTGAGAACGCGTATTTATGTACTGCGCCACCTCCCTTATTCCTTTGTTTTAATTATTATTTCTTACAGTATGGCAGAAAAGCGCTCATCTGAATTCAGACGGTTGTTAAGACCAGATTTCAAAGGTAAAATTTTTATTTTCGCAAACTCCTTGATATAACATTTGAGCACATTGGGTTTCGATACACCCAAGTTGCAATTAATATTTTTATTTGACAGTTTGGCTTCATTTGTTTTAGAACCCTATAGTGACACTAAGCTCTTATTTTCCCGACCACGAGTTCATCTTTTGGGAAAATCTATTGAATTTAAATTAGTTATCGAGTAACATCCATATACTTTGGAACCATTTGCATGCCGTTTGACAAGTTCAAAATATACAATTAGTATATAAATAAAAATGGATCGCCGAAATGTATGTACGCTAGATAATTTCTAAAAATTGTACGGAAATACGTAAAAAACAATTTTTCTTTTTTCCGTCATTTTAAATCGCAATATAAGTAATAGATGGCGCCAAAGCCTGATCAACTACGGCTCTATAAAAATCCAAACCGACGACTTCAGGCGAGAGGAGAAAAAAAAGACGGGCAAACTTATAAATCGATGTAGTAAAAAAACTTTTTGAAATTCCCACGGGAACGGGAACAGGAAAAAATAGGATTTTATGTTTTACAGTAAAAAAAAAAACTAGACATTTAGAAGGTAGGTTTCTTTTAAGCTTAAGACTCCAAACTTCCTGATGTTGCTACGAGAATGGAGAAAAACGGGAATGAGGAACCGGAAAAACGGGATTTCCCAAAAGCGGTGCGAAGGGAAGAAGAGAAAAAAAAGATCGCCGAGATTGCTAGTTAAATATGAAAATAACAAGTGGCAAATGGTTATCGCGGTTCCAATGTCATGGAAATAAAATTTCGAAAGTACGTACTTTATAAAATCTGACGTGGCAACACGTGCATACAACGATCTAGGCAACACTTCCGCTAAACGCGACGTGAAAATTCATTGAAATGGGGTATAAAAGACCGTAAAAATTCAGTCGACATCTGTTCACCCTTAACGTAGGGCCACAGTACCTATTGTTCCCCCATAGCGTAGGTGCCCCAGGTCCTTTAGCTCACCCATGCTGTAGGATCGCCCTCATTCGTGTTACAGCTGCATTTGACAGTTTAAGGCTGTCACTGTTTTAATAGTTTTTTAATAATATTTTTTAAAACATTAGGAGCTTGAGTAATTTAAGCATTGAACTCATCTAAATGTTTAGGCTGTCAATGTATCGGTTCTAAATTATTTCCAAGATAAATAGTGGTTTTGGTGGTCAACTGCAGTGCAAGGGACGTGCTACGTACTATTTTTTATGAGGATTTGTTTCTTAATTGCTTTCGGAAATCGGAAGAACTATAAAGTTTGGAGTTTGTATCGTATTTCATCTTTGTAATTGGTACAATTAGTTACATTTGCAGGGTCATCATGATAGTAATATCGGGGATTTTAATTTTGCAAAATTGCCATATTTAACAGTACTGGGCGATGATTTATCGACTTATGAGGTAAATATGTATATGGTGTCAGTTTTATCCATACAGCAAGTATACGAGTGATCACGAGAATTAGGCCCGCTAATATTTTATCGCAAAGAACTATTAAAATCTTTGATTATAACTATATTCAAAGATCAAAACTGCTGTGTAAATAATCTGAAGAAGGGATTGAACTTACCTAATTGTCGCATTAGGAAAAAGACACCCAATCATTCCAAAATTAAAAAAAAAAATGTTTATCGACGGCAAGATTTGTCGCTTATCTTCGTAATCCATTGTCTATGGAGGGTTGTGTGCCTCTCTTTCGGACCAACACTGTCTCCTACAAGAAGGGCCAAACAAAACTTTGGATTCATTTTTTAACAATAAATACAATACAGAATCTGTTCCATGCATATAATTTTCACGGGTCGATTCCTTTAGGAATACATATTAAAATTACTTCAAACAAAATAATGGGATAACGCTTACATCATATGCTAAAGGCCAATCCCTTGCATGGGACTGTACATGCGTGGACACTTTATCCCAAACAAACATTAAAAGTACTTCAATAAGAGCCGGAGCTGCAGCAGAAGAGGCATGCTCAAAAAAACACAACAAATATCGAGATCTAAAGAAAGATTATATATTTATGGGACTTGCCTTCGAGACACTTGGACCATGGTGCAAGGAATCACGAGATTTTTTGAATAAAATAAGCAAAAGCTTAATTGCGGAATCCGGCGAGAAACGCGCTAAGCAATTTTTATTTCAAAGGATATCCTTGGCCATCCAACGTGGAAATAGTGCATGTATCCTGGGTACTCTCCCAACTGAAAAACAGTTCGACGAATTTTTTTTGTTATAGTTAATTATTGTTTTCTTCTTTGTTACACAATTTTAAATATTTCGTTTAAATAAAATTTTCGGAAAAAAAAAATATGCAAATTCCTAAAAATAATCGATCACTGCTTTACTTATAGAAATAAAAAAATATAAAATAACTTACAGTAGGTAAATGACTCTCCTCGGAAAAAGCCGCTTCCTTTAGAAATACGGAATCAAATCGCTTCGATAGTACAGTGGACTCCGTGATGAATGCAAACAATAAGGTCCATACCTATCGCAAGTCTAAGCAAATCTGCTTCAAATTCGCGAAAGTAATTATTAATCATAATTAACGCATCTTAACGTACATTTTTACAACCGAGCTTGAGTGCACCTATGATGGTACGTAACCGACTAGGCGAAAATAAAACACACAATAATACGTGTTAGCTCTTTTAAAGTCTGAAGTCGTCTGCCGAAAACTCCCTCTCTTCGTTAATTACGAAACGTACATGTTGTTATCGCCTTTTATTTCCAGACATACGTTTGTTCACGTTCGCTATGAAGCGGTATATGTGCAAATTTTCTTATGTTCAATAAAATACAAATTCCAAAAATTACAAGGTCCCATTTTCTGTTATTTATTTAAAGGTTGAACTCCCCGTAATTTTACACTTCACTGATTTTTAAACGATTAAATTAAAAGTTTTTGATTGGTAGGTTTTTAGAAGCTATTTTATATTGCATGCAATTTTACTATTAATGAATCACAACCAATTGGATCTGTATAAAAGGAATTGAGCTTTGCCTAGAAAGTTATTTGTTCAGAATTAATCGAAGAAAATTTCAGATTTAGTTGATCCATTACAATGACATTTTATATAAACTGTGTACGTTTTGATTGAGACGTCTAATCGAAAAAGTACGAATCGTTTTGGATTCTACGCACCCACATTAATAAGAAAAAGTTTTTTCCCAAGAAATTTTGGTGCAGTCGATTTTTGATAAAAAAAGAAGGTTATACATTGCCTTTTTTTGCCCCGCAAAAAAAATTGTCTCAGATCGACCCGGAAAAAATTTTTCTTATAGAATGTGGCCTGTAGAATCCACAATTTCAAACAGTTCCAAGATCGGACTACTAGATCAAAAGTTACAGACCTTTGAATTTTTTGTCGAAATTGGTTTTTTGCCCATAACTTTTGATTGAGACGTCTAATCGAAAAAGTACGAATCGTTTTGGATTCTACACACCCAAATTAATAACAAAAAGTTTTTTCCCGAGAAATTTTGGTGCAGTTGATTTTTGGTAAAAAAGGAAGGTTATACAGTTATACATTGCCTTTTTTTGCCCCGAATAAAAAAATTGTCGAAATATGTTCTTATAGAATGTGGCCTGTAGAATCCATAATTTCAAACAGTTCCAAGATCGGACTACTAGACCAAAAGTTACAGCCCTTTGAATTTTTTATCGAAATTGGTTTTTTGCCCATAACTTTTGATTGAGACGTCTAATTGAAAAAGTACGAATGAATGTGTACATGAAAATGTGTCATATTTGGTATTTAGATTCGATAAGAGGTTCAACAGATGTGGTCATAGCATTGATTTTGTAGATTCGTTTTAATAGATAGCAAAACTTGTAAAGGGTAATGCAAATTGAAACTTACCGTTTGATTCTTTTTAAATTAAAATATTCAATACGTTTGCGAGTTAACTTAGAAATTGAATATTTTGACTTCGGGAAGACCCCTTCTTATGCAACTCGTTGCTTGAAATTACCGCGGGTCTAGCCTTGAGCAGAAAGAAGTACAATTCGAACGAAGACATAATTAATTAGTGTTACGCCCAAGGAGAATGTATAACGTTAAGTTTAATACGTACACATAAGGATAAAGAAAACTCTATACGAAAATGCATTATCCTTATTTTTGCAGTCTATAAAATAGAGAGTATTTTATAGACATCCGATTACCCCTCATATAAATCAGAGAGACCCTTTTACTTACCGAGGGGATGGTGTTGCCCATGTCCCTTCTTCATTTATCAGCATCCCATTTCTTGCACGTCTGAAAGCAATAAAATAAACTGCATTATATATTTCTTTTGTCATACACCACTACTGTCACTGGAATCTATACGTATTTTATTATAATGTAGTAGGTACATACATACCTATGCGTAATCGAATCTAATGAACCTTCGAAATCTTTCCTAAATTGTTCGATTGCAGTGAACGTGACCGGTGCCAGGGCGAGAAACAATAAAATACAGAAGAAGCAAGCGACGGAAAATCCGTTCTAAAACATTAAAAAAAATCCTATTGATGACCGCAATGAATATTGATACTCACGAGATGATCGACCATCATGTTACAACCACTAATTCTAATCATATCGAAAGTTTCCCAAAGTGGGCGGCAATTTCCGATCTCATAGAACACCTTTTTCTTAGTGAAACTGTGCATTTGTTCCAAATTTCTGTTTAATCCGTCCATGTAGTCACTGACAACCTAAGGATCAATTATTGCATTAAACGTTAAAAGAACAACCAACATTTACCTTTCTAGAAATTCGCATCCCGTCATTATCTACAAAATACTGTATTTCTTTTAAGCGAGACAGAGACTGATTGATTCGCTTATTTAAAGGCGCAAGAAAAACTTCCAAAGCAGCCATTTGATATAAAATGTCATCCCTAATCTTCTTTAAATGTTGCAACTCCGTTTCGACCAGTATTTGAGTTCTAAATGCCAAACGTTCCATATTTTCAGCGCTACGAGCATCCGTCAAATGTTTCGCTACACTTTTTAGTTGCTCGGCTACAGAACTCAAATCTTTGTTCGTAATCGGCTGAGAAATATTATTTCTGTAGTTTGTAAAATTGACTTTGGATAAGCTCGAAAATTCCTCAAGATTTTCACGCAATTTAGGGGATAAAACTTCAAAGTTACTTAGAATGGCTGGAAATCTTTTGATGGCTTCATTATATTCTCGCCATTCCTTTGCATTTGTTAAGGATTCGATGTTGAAAATTGTTTGCAAGTCGAAAGTTCGAAACGCAGACTGATTATTGCGACACTTGCTAAAAATAGGTCAATAAGAAACAACAAAAAAGGGAAATCCCTTACTTAAACATGCTGTCTACTCTTAAAGACCTGTTCGCTTTGAGAATTCGATAGAAGAGGTTGTCGTCGGATCTGGATATAATGTCTCTTGTATTCAGAAGCTCGTTTAGGGTTATATACGTCGGATCTTCGTATAAAGGTTGACATATTAAAACGTGACAGTGTCCTCCTATTATAAAAGAAACACTGCCGAAAGTCCACATGATGAGTGATAATACGCAAGTTAATCCTAAACCTGTCTGTAGAAATGGTATCGTTTTGGGAGTCGAGTCACATCCGCATGGTGCACCACATATCAGAAAGCCCCAAACAAGAAACGTCAGGAGGGATAATCCTTCAACAAAAATCGGTTATTAATGGTCATTGTATTCGTCTGATAAGAATACATGGACCGACAAAGAAAATTGTCAACAATTACGTACTATAGCATTTAGAGACCAGGATTTTCTCAAAATTGAATTCACTTTCAATGGGTTGCATTTTGTCGTACGAACATGTTTGTAAGATACGTATCGGTAGCTGTTGTGCAGCTTATGAGCCCTGTGAGACTTCGCCGAGTTGAAATAATTTCATCCGTTACACATTTACCTATTAATTTCTTTTAATTAATTAAACCACCAATCAAACAAATGATAGTGTCGACCCTTGTAACACTCTGTTTGTTGTTCTGTTTCTTTTTGATGGACTGCAGTAAAGTACCTACCGTAATGCTCCGGCAAACTAGCTCTTCATGAGCGGATATCTCCTTCTCTCAAGACCAGTGGGCTATTAATTAATAATGACTCTAATTCGAACATATTGTAACGGAAACGCTCCAGACATGACGTCGCCTTTGGCGCTCTGGAATTTTCTACGCGCGCGATAGTGGAATTTGTATAGGAATATTCGAGACTTATCCGGTAATTACGCGAGTGTTCTGGACTTAGATTGCTTGCGTGTATAAATGGTTGCGGGCCGAACATCGCAGTCAGTTTACTACCGAACGAGATCGAGTACGGACGAAACATTGAGCGCGAAAATCTGATATAAATTGCGAAGTGTGTAATATAAATAGTCGATATAAATTGTACAGTTTTTATAGTGTTTTAGTTTTGTTTAATAAATATTGATATAAATCGAACCCGAATTTATAAATCACGTTACAATATATAGCAATAAAATAGACGCTACAATTAACGATCATTAAGGACACCCTTAACCCTACGAAGACGCAAGAAATGCAGAGTCTACCGCCGCAATGTTAGTACTAAATCACCGGAAACGGACATCAGGGCGCCACACCGAAAGGGAGCGAGGACAAAAGGATGCGGACAAATGGGCGCGGGGCATGAGGGCGCGAGGACATATGAGCGCTAGACAGAGTATTCTCTAAAAAAAAACAGTTGTGGTTAGTTTGTGTTGATATTTTATATCACCAGTCTTTACACAAGCCGTTCTAGATATCAAAAACATATAATGTGCAATGCCAAAAGGGTTGGATCACACCTTTTATATCACTTTTACTTCTACGTTATAAGCGATGGGTTGTTTAATCGAGACGGTTATGTTTTTCCCAATCGCTGGCGCGAGTTTTTCAAATTTTTCAAAATTGGCCATATCATCAAAAAAATGAGCACTGTTCTTTTGACATTTCCATTAATTATGCACCGAATTATTGCACGAATTGCAAAATATGCAGTCGACACCTTACGATAGGCAATGCCAAAATTTGGGTTTGATAGATTCAAAATTGACAATGCCTTTTTGACTTCTTGACCATTTGTGATATGATTTTAATGAAATTCCACCAGATCTATCCGCAATTTGTTGTCCATTGAGAACAGATTTAAGGCGACCGCCAAAATTAATAGTTGGAGAAGATGTATATACTACTTTACTAGCAGGAAGTAAACTGCAACGGTAGTAAAACAATATTAAGCGCATTGTTGGCAAGGTTGACGTATTCAGCATTTCTACATACTAACATAATTGACATAGGTTAAGGAAAATAAATCCATGATATAAATAGCATGTAAACGCTTACAATAAACATTATCAAAAATTTTGTTTGTAAACCTGTTTAGTTAAGTGATGTAATTAAACCTATAGTTATAGTTATTACTTTAGTTATTTATTTTCGCCGCTAGAGGCCATCCGAATGTTATAGGTTTCGTTCACAATGGTTTTTTATTTTCAACTCCGGAAGTTGTGCAGGTGTTCTCCATGGTAATTCTAAAAAGCAGTATGCGGATCACTCTGTAATTGGGCGCAAGCCAGTTGAGGGACCCAGAACAAGAGAGCGATAATAAATAAATAAATAAATAAAGATCTGTCTGTTTGTACTCTCATTTCCGGCAAACCGGCCGAACTGATTGGTGCCAAATTTTGTACAAATATTCTTAGACATAAAAGATATTGGGCAGGTGTGCAGGTGGTATCTGGGCTAGCGCTAGCCACAGCACATTTTTAGAGCCTCTGAGGCCGAGATGTCTGACCATTTATATCATACGAACTACAGTGTCAAGTCGTCAACCTGGCGACATCTAGGTGTCAGGTCTTCTACTGTGATTGCTGGTTTTTGAGTGGAGAAGGGAGCGGTTTTGAACAATCAAAATAGTGGCATGTGGTGTGTGCGGTAATATAAAAAGGGAAATACAGAGACACCTTTATTACTGCTAGAAGAGTTCCTCCCTTGCCGTTGCCAGTTTGATTTTTAAATTTAACATACCTCAATCTTAACTTTTCGGGAATTGATAAGCGATCCAGTGCCATCTTTAGGCATGGGCCCGCCGGGCCCGGGCCCAGGGCCCTCAGGTACGGTTAGATTTAGCGTAAGTAGGTACTGCTGTCTACACTACCGAGTATTACTTCGCTATCCGTGGTTATGTATCTCCAAGATGTACATACATCTTGAATTGTCTGCATATAAAGTCATATCTGTGACAGATTATTGCCATATTTTGGGGTTTTCTAAACAAATTAAAAATGTGAATAACATGCAATAACACAGATTTGAAATACAGTACTTCAATAAATAAACGGCCTGTTCCAGCAAATCTAAAAATTTTACAAATCTGTAATCAATAAAGAGCGCCGAAAGTTGTAGGTGCGGGTGCGTGAGCGTCAAATAATTTTGAGGATGTAATTAATGATTTTGCGCATAAAAAATGCAGAAAAAAGTCGCTTATTTCTATGTAATTTCTATGTAATGTATGTCTATGTATAGTAGGCTATAGGCTTTTAAGTTATACCATTGAGTACCTTTACTCAATGGTTATACATTTATCTTTTTGTATTCCACAATAAACATTTTTATTTGTTTTATGGTTTTAATTTGAACTTGTTTCCAAAAAAGTAATCTTAGCAAGGAAGCTCTCAAAAGTGCCATTTTTCAGCTTTCAACAATTTGTCGAGAGGGCCCCTAAAACAAAAAGTGCCAGGGGCCTAGACATAGGTAAAGACGGCACTGAAGCGATCTCAAGGCCTCAATCTTAGGGCCAATAGAAAATATCAACGGGACCATTCCTTTTCGGTCTTGTGTCAGTTATTGGTAGTCGTAGTGGTCTTATACGTTTTATTTGCACTTTATAAAAAGAAAAGTGGTAGTTGAGTACGTATAGAATACATAAGTACACATTTCGGTTCGTTGACTTACGATATAGTTCATCTGCCGTGTCCAGTTGGCGAAGAAAAACGAAAGAAGAGAAATATATTTTTAGTTTTGAAACATTATTGAGGCACGTTTATTTTTTACATTCTTTTTTAATCCTTATGGAATTCTGATGAAATGAAAATTATTAAATGATAGTTATTGTAGTATCTACTTAATAATAGATGGGCGATAACAATTACTGGCGTAATCGAACAAACTTTCAGTTAAAGAGTACAAAGAACTCATTCTCCTGCTATTCAAACGTGCATTTATTGAGTGGTATCTACCCGAATAGTAGAAAAAAATTAACAGTTTAACTTAGGGTAAAAACATATTAATTTGCGGGTTGCGTGCAACTGTCTATGTGTGCGAATAGACAAAATAAATTCTGGGACGAAGAAAAATCTGTTAGTGACCTAAATCGTAGGAAGGCCTTTTATTTAAAAGTGGTAAAATATACGCGATGGAACATTTTCGAGTTGGAGATCCGCTTTTCAAATAAAAAAACGTGATTAATAAACTGACATTAAAACTCATTGCGATAAACAAAGGAATTTTTTTCGGATCGCAAACATCTAACTTTATTAGATAACGCATTGTGCGATACATAAAATTTTGTATACAACGGCATAAAAAGTTTAACAATTAATCGGTGCATTACTCTGCAACTAACCTACTTAATAAATTGGACAAAATTAATATCAACACAACGGATTGGCTTATTATTCCTGTGCATCGCGATCTCGAGTATTACTTTCACGAAATTGAAGCTAGTTTGGTTGAATTCAAGATTCAACGAACTTTTCTTCCGTTAACGGTTAAAGTTTGCATTATTCACGCAGATAACGTTACCAAGGTGGTGCAAAAAGTCAACTGTTTCCATATTTCTAAGGGAACCGGTATTTACAAAAGAGAGATAATATCAATTTGTTACCAGAAGAGAATATCACCCCATGTCTCCCTTGCCTCAGCTTACCGTGCTTAACCAAGGTCATTTTGTTGCAGGTGCATGTAACAAATTGGGTGACCTGTCTCCTGTTCTTTAGTAACTTTATGTTACTCACCAAAGTTCAAGTAATTAGTGAGACAAGCATTACTTCATTGATGCTTTAAACGGTCAAAGAACAGGACCCAAAACTGCACCGAAATCACTCTAAACCAAAGATAAAGAACCGAAACCCTTAGCTTTCGTTTCGGTTTTCTTATCGGTATCTACGTTTATTTTTTTTGCGTTTAAGTATTTATTTATTGGAAAATTAAAACCTTTTTTAACTATTATGAGATACTATGGTGGTTGATTACTGCACGCAAGTTAAAACCGAAATTTCGCGTACATTACATTGTACCTGGGGTTTGCCAACCAGCGGTAACTAACTTTATTCAATAGTTATATCTGGCAGTCGATAGTTTTAAGGTTAAATGTTGTGGTAATTTTTTTTAATTTGTGGTTCAGTGTGGCCAGAAGGTCACTTAAAATTTGGAGATTGTGGTTATAATTTGAACCTGAACGTTATGGCCATGGCGTATTGTGGTTCTGAGACGGTGCAAAGATTATGAATTCGTATGGAAGAGAACGCAATAAAACCGAAGTGTACTACTTTGGAAAGTCGAATTCTTATTACCCCTTGCGACTGAAATTTTAAAATAGTGACTATTTCAATTTACTGCATACGTGCTCTGGCAGTATAACGACGTATGGTCTTGATATACCGGGTGATCGAAAAGTAGTGTGGACAGTTTGAATTTCCCGTAGAACTAAACATTTATAAAGTTGGTAACATAGCTAAATGTCATTTACGTAAAAGCAGTGGTGGATCAATTTAATCACTAATGCATAAATAAACTACCTTCTAAACATGTTTGCCAATTCCTTAAGTAAAAAACATTAAAAACTTAAAGCGCCCAATTTAAAGTGTCTGCAGTTCTTTTTGATCACCCGATACTACCGAATGAACATGCAGTTGGTCCCTTTAAAGTTAAGACGCGCAAATACCTACCTTCTAAATTATAAAAGTGATGTTCAATAATTGTAGCTTCCCCTTTTATTCAGGTATCGTGTTTTATTTACTCGTTCCTCCAAAATAGGTATACCAATAGCGTTACCTGCCCATACAAACTGACAACAATGTTAAGTTTTATGACTGAAAATCTGGAAAAGTAGCTATATATCTGTAAAAGAAAATTGCTTCAGGATTTTACTGCATATAATACCGCGTAATCCTACAGAATATGAATGCAGCGGCGTATTTCAAAATTGCCACTTTGAAAATCAAAGTGGAGCTAGGCGGAAAACAAAATGCAACCCTTTCAATAGAAACAATCATGAAATAAATAAACATACAATGAATTATAAAGCTTCCCCTCGGGTAGTTAAAAATGCTAACTTTCCGCAACATTGATTTTATTTATTATGGCTATAAACACTGAATACGCTATTATATCCTATCATCATTTATGACATCCTTTATGCTCAGAAGAACTGCATACTAAATCGTTTAGTTTTTATTGCAGGCAACCTCAGAATAACTTACCAAGTACCAAAATCCAGCGCCACAGATCGCCGTTTGCCACCTTCTCCGTAAGTGGTACAGCCTCATCTTTGTACATTTTAATTTTATTCTTAAAAGCGTTCGCCACATCTTCAAATGAATGAACTGAATCGAAGAGATTGTTGCGGTATTGATTGAGTACACTTCGAATTTCTGAAATAAAACTTCACGTTACAACAAAAGCTTCACATAAATTGAACTATCTACTCTACAAATAATTGAATTGTCGAACTTGGTGCACTATTTGGGAAAATGTAGCAACTGATCTAATTGCATTGCATAAATACAATTAGCGAGAGTGTCGCCAAAGCGAAGCACATCAAAGTTGTTCACTATACGAGAACGGTTTACATCAATACGAAATAATGTTACGTGAAATTATTCTGCGGGTTAAATTTGAGTATATTCATGTAGCAAAAGGACTTAGACGGCAATTTGTATACCACAGTAATTGTAGGCTATTCTATGAATTAAAAACCGTTCCAGAAAACCGCCCTGTTTCTAACGCGAGCTTTCTCTTTTCAAACAAAAGTTATAGGTACTCATTTGAAAATTGGGTCTTCGGGTTACAAAGTGTCCCCCGCCTACTAGTGAGTGATCTAATTTCGCATGTAGTCAATTGAAAATGTTGCAAATAACAAACAAATATCGATTTAAGTCGATATTATGATTAAATGATTACAAAAAATTCGATATGACGATCATGGTATTCAAGTCTGCAAATTCGATTCCAAAAATTCCGCGGCTGCGGGTGGTGGGAAAATGAGAGTTCCATTACGATCAATAATCATTATTGCAAGTATCATAATATCGGCTTAAATGGTTATTTTTGGTCATTTGCGACATGTTTAATTAACTACATGCGAAATTAGACCACTCGCTAGTAGACGAGGGACACTTTGTAACCCGAAGGCCCAATCCTCAAATGAGAATAATTTTGGTTTGAAAAAAGTGTTTGACAATTTTGTTCCTTAACTAACTCATCGAATTTCGTGGAATTTTTTCCATTTTCGTTGTTCGGCCAAGAATTGCAGTGGAACTTTTTTTTTCGAATTGTCAAAAACTAATTCCAGATTCGTGATTTTCATGTTCAAAAACCCCGAGATACCAAATTTCGAATTTCCTACTAAAGATTGGCTCTTGGGGCGCGATAATTTATTTAGTTTTTAGGAAAGTTGATTTAAAGATCTTTTTTTCTTTTTATTTGGAGCTTATAACAATAAAAAATTGAAATATGGTTAAAATAAAATCGGTGATGTCACGGAGATTTCCTTTAAAACAACTCACTGCTGAATGATGTTATCTATTTTCAATAAACATTAAACTTTATTTAAAATTAATATATTTTACAACTCTGTAGTAACCAATGCCTGCACACCTTTCCTCCATCTAGCTTCTTCTCCCCGCCACTCTCTTGTTACATCTCTCTCTTGGCCACTCAGATCTCCACTTCACGAGGGGGTCGTCGTGCAAGCATCGTCCACAAGTTCGCGCTATATGACAAGGGCTGCCTGGGATTGTGTCCTCCCTACAATCGTCGTCCGTTTTAAGAGGGGAGGGGGACAGTGTAGCGAAAATTCAAGAAATCTCGATAGACAACGAGGCGCCATGACCGATTAATCATCGGCGATAAAGAACGAAGGTGGAAGGTGTGTCGACAATCCTTCCGAGAAAAATGACGTGTATATTCTAGACCGTACCGAAGCGTTCTAGTTTGCTATATAAGGGGGTCGAATTGCGTTTCAGTCAGTTTCAACATCGATGCGTTCTTGAGTGATAAATATTGTAATTACTGTTATGTTGAAAATTGATTGTTAATTAATTGTAAATAAATAAACCACGTAAATAAATTTACTTTACAGTATTAACACTTGTTTTTAAGTAGGAAAAGTGTAGAGGTTCAGCCACGTTAACCAATGGCTAAACCGAGTATTAGACCCCTTATTGCTCTTATTAGATTGATACCACATTTTAACTTGTTTTCCTTGTGTAAAATTTTCTTTATCTTTAGAGTTTATTTGTTAGGCATATTTTTTGTGTAAAATGGACAGATGTGTTCAACGTTCATGGGTTTGGATAACACAATAATTAATAGCATTTCGTTTATGTGATAAGTGCGGTAAAAATAGTGCGGGTTAGGAAAGAATGGAACTGGTTAACGATAACGCGTTGATTAAAACCAGTAGGAAGAAACTGGTACGTTGGTTTTAATGTTATGGTTAATTTGGAGCTAAGAAATGTTACTACAGTGCTAAAGGATGAAGATATTAGTTAGAGAGTCACGTGACCAGTTATCTTAAGCTTCATTTTCGATAGCTTGCCCAATAAATTTAAACAGAAATAGTTCACAGTGTCAAAATCTTTTAAACGAATTAATGATGAGATGAGAATACAGCCTTGTGACAAATAAGTCAAACTATGTAGCTAACAGCTAGCGGAATGAATGTTAATAGTCCGCAGTATCTGCATTTCGAAAGTATAGCATTAACGAAAAAAGCATTAAAACGAGAAAGTGGACAAAAAGCTACCCTTCACTTCTGATTTAGAAGGCAGTGCCACATTTCACGTAGCGGTTGTAACATATTAGACGCTTTTGTCGTTTATATTAAATTAGAATTTCTTTAGCGGACTTTCAAATAGAAAAGCAGCGCTGGAAATGGTTCTAAAAAAACGTAGCAATTTCACAGTCCTCTTCAAATCTAAAAATGTTGCCTACAGTGTCACTTAAACTAACTCATTTATTTATGAGTATTTAATTATTCAAACAATAAGAATTAGTTTTAATAGTTATTTACGTTATAAGTCCGGTAGGTTACTTGTAACAGTACGAGTTAGACATTATGGACGAGGCGACGTTAGGAGCCGAGTCAAGAATGTCTTAAACGAGTACTGTTACAAGTACTACCGGACGTATATCGTAACGTATTTTATTTCATACTGTAAGTCTGTTTTGTGTCATTATTTCATTTCAAAGATTACAAAATTTCATTATATTGTAAAAATCGCATTACCTTGTTTCTGTGGCAACGGCCGTTGCTATAGTTTGTAGTTTGTTGACATTGAATTTTTTTCACTGAAAAATGGACGCTATAAACCACAGATAACGGAGCTCCGTTATCTGTGCTATAAACGTTGTGGGATGTTCCACTGTTCCCGATACAGTCCTGTCGAAATCTCATGAAGCAACCGAAAAGTTGGTTCCTAAGAAGTCGGCCGCAAGGTATGAAAAAGAGTACTAAGTGTTTTGCCAATGGAGGAACGAACATGGGGCGAAACAAGTAGAGAAAAACGTCATGTTGGCATACTGTTTGGATGCAGTAAGTTTTTGAATTGAGATTTTTTTGCCTGGGTTTCGGTGTTAAAGCGTCATGGGGCATGGAAGAGCTCATAGACGGCAGAAAAATACATTGAAGGCTCGGTAGAAGGAAAAGTTAAGATGGCCCGTATGCTACAACTGATACAAGGCGGCGAAAATTTCATTGAAGTTCTACAGCAGAAGGAATCAAACATTACTAACTGGACATCCAGTAATAACCCAGGCGTTAGTGTTGAGGGCAATACAAATTGTTTGATTACAATCAATGTTAATGTTTGAAATAAAGAATTACAGCCAAATTTATGTTGGGGTTTTTAACTAATTGTGTGAAGATGTCAAATTTTATGTATACCTACAAATAATAACAGTCCGGTAAGTGTTGCTTAGCGACACTTACCGGCTCTGATGCTGTAATAACTCACCTACCGGACTCAAATTAATAGTGTAATCGAACATCTACCGGACAGTATGAAATAAATGTAATTGGTGTGCTTATTAACATGACATACCTATTGATTAATGTCAATCTGTCAGTGATGACAGGAGTCAATATAGACATTTAGCAAGTGTCACAGATGCGGCCGGTAAAGTGACGATGCGGCCAGTAAAGTGACAAGCGGCAGGAAACTCTGCCTCTGTCATGGAAACTCAAATTTCCTGACAGAAAGTAGGCATGCAAATGAAGGTTTCAGGACGATTTTAGGTAAATGAATTTGTTGCTTTGGTTTCCGTATTTTTATCTTCGTTCGTATGCGATGTATTCAACTGAAGAAAAACAAAACTTATATAGTAATTTCTTGTAGATTTCTTAAATTACGTAAAGCTATACGGAACATCTCAGCAGTTCGTTATCTACGCGCTTTCAATATTCAGTATTAATTAAAATTAGTAACTTAATTAAATTTTTTCTTTCATACGAAGCGAGAGGGCGGTGCTTTAACTTTATTCGGAAAATCTTCAGCATTAACAACTAAACATTCTGAAAAAGTACTCATATTTCCCACAACTTTTATTCGTCACCGAATTTCTTTTCAAACTTTATTTTTAATATCAAGGGGCACGAAGTATAAGAAGTAAATTAGAGAACTCCCTTTATTGACTGGTAAGTGTATTGCTAAATTGAGTACACTTCTAAAATGTATATATCCAATTACGTAGGATTCGGGTTGACTGATTTAATTACTCCGGGATTTGAATTCTGGTACTCATGTAAATTATATTTCCGTTTCCGCAAATACGCGATTTCCTTACGTTGACGCGGTCTAGCAGCAAAGTGGATACTTTGCAAACAATTGATGAAATATGGAGTATCCTTTGAGCCTCCGAGGCTTGAGTTTCTTTGCCAGTGTAGGCAGGTAAGAATACCAACTACTACGACCGCCATACCTTACTGTCTTTCGACGTCCGTTTTAGATGGAAATGACCTTAACTTTCTGTTTTTAAAGCGACACCCTGTCCCTGTATTTAATTCGAAACGTGGTGGTAAAATTAAACTAAAAAATATACAAATCATCACCTTTGAAGGAATTAATAATTTTAATTAAGTAGTTTTATATATAAATTGAAATTTTATATCAAAATACGATTTTAGGTAAAATTTAATACAAAACTCGTTTATAAAATGACTTTACTTGACTCGGAAATTAAATTACTCTGCCCCAAAGGGGCCTCGTACTTCAGTAATGTGTCATTTTCCTGACTTTTATGTAAATACTATTTTTTCAAGAAGATATTTTGGTTGCATAAAAATAGGCGCCCTTCAGAAGAGATTTTGTCATTTAAAAGTAGACATAGGAAAAAACAATACACATAAATGTCTACTTTTTAATAAATATTT